TGTTCCATGTACCGTTTATTCCTTTATCATTCGTATATGTAGTATCTTTTCCACTACAGTGTCATACCCTGCAGAGCGAAACGCCAGATGCGGAAGTGTAAGCAAACACTTTCTGATCAAAGAGGTGGCCTTGGTGTAGTAAAACAATGAGATGCAAAGGAGGAAGGGTACATGTAGGATGAGAATTGGTTGGTCACTACACCAACCATGGAATTCTAGACGCTCGATTGACCGTAGCCGTTATCAGTTCCGTGCATCCTGAACTCAACTGTGAATGAAATCATATAGAAAGTTATTTATCAGAAAATAATGTCTCATTTACAAAGGGATACATAATGCTAAATAGAAACATGAATCAAATTTATATATTATATATATTGTGTTTTCACATACGTATAATTTACATATAAATCTGTATTATACATAATGTTTATGATATATTTGATCCAATACACATTTATATGCATTGCATGGTTGGATATATTATTTATATATTATATGCATATTGATGGATGCCAGCACGCGGAACGATTTGCCACCCCGTTACGGTCCAATTACAGTCCCACTCGAGTCCATTTGGGAAGAAAACATTGCCCATCTTCTTTTTACGCTGTATTTAGCGTCCCGGTGGGTCTTTCAAAAGCAGTAAATTCAATCAACAGTGAAGTTATCATCGCTGAGTATGCCTACAAAAGTGACTAATAAGATTCAATGAATAGGATTCTAATGACAAAACCTTGTGAAAACCTAAAACTATGAAAGATGAAGATTAATATCAGGTTTGTTTCATTGAATTATTTTCTTTATTTATCATGAAGCGGCATTGTCCATAGTCACATTTTCATGAAATCGCGTGGATCCTCGTCGTGGACTATCAGAAGACATGTTATAGGTAGTTCGGTATCCGAGCACCTTTCTCAAACAAAGCACGTTCAACAACAATTGATTGATAAATTTAGTGAAGCGGCATCCGGTAAGTGTAGTGACACCAACCAACTCCCATTCTACATGTACCCTTCCTCCTTTGCATCTTGTTGTTTTACCACACCAAGGCCACCTCTTTGGTCAGCAAGTGTTTGCTTTCACTTTCCGCACGCTTGCTCATACTTTCGCATCTCCCTTTTTGCTCTGCAGGTTATGACACTACACTATAACACTACAACCGTCCTCCGTTTAGTGAACTGTCTGGTTCTGCTTTCGTACAAACGCTCGCTTGCGATATAGACGTATTATCTCGGGGTACCGATAAGCAAACGTCCACATAAGTTCATAACAAACATATTCCATTGTGCCATACTGATTAAGCAAGTGCAAACAATCAGGATTGCGAATCTGTAGGGAGCGAGGGTTCCGGCGAAGAACAACCTAATGATGAATATTCATCATCACCGTGATATCACAGATAGGTCCGCTGTTCTAAGAGCTTGCATAACATCTTATTGTCGATCTTTTCCAGATCACTGCGATACTGTTTCAATAAATTCAACCACAGAACCTACTCCTATAGAGATCGAAATAGCTATTAAAGCTAACTTGAATATAAACAGCATAAACATTATGCCGCAAGAATGTTGTACGCTACAACTTGGCTTACGGAAAGACAGTTGAATGTTGTTGAGAACCCCAAGAATAACAGACAATATAAATTTGGAAGATATTGATTATGCACCCTTTAGCCAGGTGTCCTGTCTGAACAATAACCTTGCAACCTTTTATTCGATTGCCCTGACGGAAATAGGTTTGCAAGTGAATACCGACGCCATTTCCTGGTTCCGTAGCTTCTGCTTGCGGTTTTGACCAATTCTATGCCGGATAGATGATTCCAACGCCCTATTGCTCATCGTAGGCTTATTTTGTGGTTACCATGAGTCGAAGACTGTCCAAAATTTACTCCACGAGTTTATATATGACATGAAAACTTTGATGGAATCGGGTCATCTTTCGGCGGCTCACCTGTAGTACCTTCACATCGACAGTGTAACATGCTCGAGAGGCGTCACCATCTTTGGTCTACCTGCTCCGCATATATGCTTTCGCATATTGCGGGCGTTGGTTGCTTGGAGCATCTCGCTTGTGCATCCTTCTTCTTTGTAGCATAGATTCCATCAGTATCTTTGATATCCTGAGACAGGTTCTTCAGCTGGTTCTTTCATTTTGGCACTGCCACCTCCGATGACGTAACTTCACTTTAAACGATGCGTGATTTCAGTGCTACACCTTCGCTTGCTAAGCATTTCACTTTCAGATGCTCTCGAGCGTAGTCAGACTAAACTTCCGGTACCTTCACGAAACTATACTTTCCCTTGACTAACCGGTTGTTCTTCCTGATTAATACCGGGCTATCGAGAAACACGCGAGATCAGAGATCGGTTCGCCTTCGCAGGTAGTAATATAGCACCCTCCATCTCTAAACCATTCTGGCTTATCAGTACCTCGGAATAATACGTCTATATCGCAAAGGAGCGTTCTTAACAAAACAGGACGAGACAATTCACGAAAAGGAGGATAGTTGTAGTTTGTAAACCTGCAGAGCCGAAAAGAGAGATGCGGAAGCATGAGTAAACGAGCGGAAAGTAAATACAAATGAGCGCTGACCAAAGAGTTGGCCTTGGTGCAGTAAAACAATTAGATGCAAGGAAGGAAGTGTACATTTAGAATGGAAGGTAGGTCATGTCGCTACAATAACAAACGTATTCCAGTTTTTTCCACAGTATAGTATATGATGCACTTGCCCGAGCATTTGTGAAACGGGTAAAGCAACATTCGGGCTACTTCAGCTGCGACCGGTGTAAAGTATCCGGAGTACTTAAATATGGACGAATGACCTTCCCCATGGAGCCCTACATCATTGAAACGGACTTCTCTATTCACGCTCGAGAAAAAGAGGAGCATCATGTCGGTAATTCTCCATTTGAGATATTGTTTATCGATATGGTAACACGATTTCAAATTGATTGCATACATTGTATATGTTTGGTATTTGTCAAGCGTGTGATTGGTTTGTGTTCAACTGGTCCCATTTAAAGATGAGATACTACCTTAAGGCCTGTGGAAGCAGTCCGGTTTCTAATATCCCTTGATTCTCGAGAACCTGGTAGATATTGGGAACAGCCATTTACTCAATGAAAAATATATTACTCCTGTAAAAGCACCGAAGTTTAGCCTGACTACGCTCGAGAATATCTAAAAGTGAAATGCTTAGCAAGCGAAGGTGTAGCACTGAACTTACGCACCGTTCAAAATGGAGTTACTCCACAGGAGGTGGCAGTGGCTTAAACAAAGATTTATAGTGACACGCCACTTCTGAGTTCTTTTCTACTCGCAACGAGCTTTTGTTTTACCAGGTGCACTTTACCTGTTTACGCTCAACCGCGGAATTGTCCCGGTGAGTCACGCAGCATCGCTACACGTGTAAACCTTTCATTGCAGGTCTCGTCCTATAAACCGTTGGTCACGACTTGTCTGTCTTCTCACTCTTTCG